AATCTCCTAGTCATTCAGGAATGGTGAACAATATAAGCAGTCAAAGTGGACCAATTACTTCAAAATTTGTTGACTTGAATATAGATGTGGATCCTTATGCCCCTTTTTATTTTTAGTTTTTTAGTAGTAATTTTATGACTTTGTTTTGTAAACTTTAGGTACTTTGGTTTGTTTAGGATCCAATCAAGTCTCATCACTTGTAGTGTAATGGTTTAAAGTGATTTTGGCTGACAACATATTTTTTGGAAGGTGACTTATTATTCTCTTGGGTGTTTTGATGATGTTGATATGGTTTTATTTTGGCTTAATTCAGTTTTGGTTCCAGTTGTTTGGGTGCTTGTTTTTATAGTATTTGTGGTGGCTCTCTTTTGGCTTTACTTTGCTGTTATAATGTGATATAATATAAGCATAGATATATGGTTAGCTGAATAATGGGAAGCAGGGACAGATCCCTGATACCACAGATGTAGTAGAGTGGCTGTAGTTTTAACTTTCTTTGTGCTTACCTTTTGTTTTTTACCAAATGCTATCAAACCATTGAGAGAAATTAGATATTGGAGTTCTGCTTAATATTTCTTTGATAGTAATGTGACCTTAGATATAAAAGGTAACAGAGGCAAATATTTTCTTTTAAAAAGAAACAGAGGCAAATATAAATGCTCATTAGTGTATATTCCTAATAGGAGCTGAAACATTTCATAGTTTTGTAATGTTTTTGTGGTGTTTCAAAATATTTTAGTGCCTTTTGATGGAACAATTTTTGTAATGTTTCATAGTTTTGTAATGTTTCAGTGGAATAATTTTCAAAATATTTCAGTGCCTTTCATAGTTTTGTAATGTTTCATAGCTGAAACGTTTCATAGTTTCATAGTTTTGTAATGTTTTTTGGGCACGAGTATTTCTTGATAACTTAACTGCAAAACCCATGTTCTTTTCCTAAAAGCACTCAGTCCAATCCCTCACATGGGCTTTATAACCTTCCTTGTTCACATCATTCCTATAACCTTCCTTCCTCACATCAGAACTCACAACAAAAACTCTAAATCATAGATGGTTCAAGAACCGAGCAACAAAACGCCACTGTTGAACACAAAACCAACACAATAACATATACACTCAAACCAAGAACTCTCAAAAGCACACACAAAAATTCTCAAGAACACATACAAAAGCTCCATTATTGTTTTGTCATAGATGGTTCAAGAACACAAAACCAGCAATAACATATACACCAAACCAAGAACTCTCAAAAACTCTCAAAACCAAATGTATAAGTTTACAACATTCATTTCAACATTAAACAAAATAACACCATTAGCATGCTAAAACCAGTACACACTATGCTTGCCATTGAAAGGAATTTCATAGCTCATTCGTTTGCCTTAAGCTGCTTCAATCTTCGCTCCAATATGTCCAAAGCTTTATTATTTCTTTTAAAATCATTCATCTCCTCATTTTCATTCTTCCTATGAATAGGATTAGGCCTCCATTGGATATTTGATGCATTGCCATGTTGACTAGTAGGCGCCTACCATGCAAAGTAATCACACTTGCCATCTACACACTTGAAGTAATGCCTCCCTAAATTTTTCTGTGAGTTTCATATCTTAACGGCTGCTTTTTTTGCCACATTTGCAACCTCGATTTTCGAAAAGGCGACCATCATTGCTAGAACTAGTGGATGTGTAAGCCATTGACATGTCACTCCTAATAGTAGTATTTTATCAAATAATTAGTAAATTATTCAGCAAAAAAAAAAAAGTGTCCATTAATAATGTCAAATGGCTCATGGAAGCACAAAGCATTTCATTGAGGCATTTTATCATACACTTGCAATGCAAAATGTAAGTCTAGAGAGAATCACACATGCTTTGAATTCTCACACATGCCTTCAATTCATCATTTCAACAAGTTGATTTTTCTTTCAAAATCACAACACGTTTCATCTTGTTCAAATTACTACTAAAGCTTTCTAACAACAAGTCTATTTCATAACATTTTTTTGAAGATACAGGTTCATTTCATGTACCAATTTTGCACTCATTATAAGTCCAGAACAACAAACCAACAATGTTAAGCTTGGAAGAAGGTTTCAACGCTCTATGGAAAATTCACAATGAAACAGAGCAAGAAAAACAAGATCTTTTTGGCACTCGAGGCTTGGAGAGGATTTAAAAATGAAACATTTTTTTGAAAAATCACACAACTTTTTATCATGGGGATTAAATGGAACGAATTTATAAAAATAAAAAAATATAAAATAATAAAAACAAAAATGTGACCTTTTCTTGGCTGTCAATGGAGGAGATTTGGGGATCTAGGGTTTGGGTAAACAAAGCAATGTGGCCGAAAAATGCCGGAAGCCCTCCACCGCCGGCCGATGGGTTGGTTGATTTTGCTCTGCTTGCTGGACTGAATCAGTTTATGGGTTTCAAGAGAGAGAGAGAGACCTAAAGGCTGAGAGAGAGAGAGAGAGGCTGAGAGTTTTGGGGTTTGAATAGTTTTGTGGGTTTGAATACAGTAAAGTGCAAGAGAGGGATGAGAGTAGAGAGTCAGTCACACGCGTTGAGGCATTCACGCCTCACTTTGTCGAGGCACCAATCATTTTTCTTCTTTTATAATGAAATATATATTTTTAATTTAATTATTTTTATGTTCAATATATAACTTATATTGGTTTTGATCACTTTAATTTTATTAAATTGAAGTTTTTATAATCATGTTATATGTAAAAAATTTATTGTGTTTCTCTAAACTTCATTAACAATTATTATAATTTACGATTCACAAATTTATGAAGGACAATTACAAAAAAAGAAAAAAAAAACCCTTAAACTTAGGGTCTGAGACTTGAAACAAAATCAATTCTGAATTTTTAATTTTGTCAATTTAAATTTAAATTTTTTGATTTATTTTCAATTTAAATCATTTGCCTATAATTGTTAAGTAAAATCGATAAAAAAAAATAATATTTTAGCCATTAAATACAATGTAAGTATACATTAAATATCTAAAATATAATTTTTTATTAAGTTTAATGACTAGAATATTATTTTTCTATTGATATTACTTAACGAAAATAGACAAATGATTTAAATTGAAAATAAATCAAAAGTTTAAAATTTAAATTGACAAAATTAAAACCTAGGATTGAATTTATTAAAAGGGTAAAACCCTTGGTTTTTTTTTTTTTTTTGTTTTTTTTAATTGTAATTTCCTCAATTTATAATGGAGATTATTTCATTTTTATCTCTATACTTTTATACGATTTTCAATGACCCCCAGATTACTCTTATTTTTACGCGTACCTCTATACTATTAAAGTTACTATCAATTTTGCCCATATCGTCACATTTGAAACGGAAAACGTTAAAAAAGTTACATTTTTGCCCCAAATTTCAAAAGAAAGATGCAAACCCACCCTTTGCTACCAGCAAACCACCACCACTAACCAGTACTTTAAGTTCTTCTATCTCCTTCGTCATAACTCTGTTTCGCCTTATTTTTACGTCGTTGGATTCAACTCACGGTCTAATTTTCGTATCACATCTCACACGTCTCATTCTTACTCTTTTTGAATGCTATCAGAGCTCCGAAAGTTGATAAAAAAAAAAAAGACTTTTTCTTCTCATTTTTGACTTTTCTTCGAGCCATCTTTCGGACTTTATATCTTTCTCGATTCTTGACGGTTCTACTTCATTCTTTCGCAATTCTCTTCACCTTACTTCCCGCTTCGCCCTATACTACCTTGCTTTCTCACTTCTTCGTATAATGGGCGGTTTTGGTATGCCGAAAGTTGTCCGAAAACTAATTTTGAAAATTTCAAAACATTACAGCCCATATGGTGCAATTCTGTGAAAAAAAGTGTTTGGTACCCTTCCGCTGCATCTCTCGCCACTATATCTTGACACTCCCATCTATAGAGCCGATGAAGACCAACCCATCAAATCCGACAACCACTGCATTAACTGCGTCATCATGAACATGAATCGATTCCAAACATTTCAAATTCGATACTCTCCAAACCTTTATTGTCTTAACCCAAGAAGTTGAGTATAACAAAGATTTGTCTTCGCTCAAACTAAGACACGAAATCACATCGAAATGTTTGATCCAAACCGTATTTCGATTCCTTCTCACCTCAACATAATTGCTCGAATTGATCGAACTATTTATATAAGGTTTCAACGCGGGTAAAGTCCCGATTCATTTGTGAATTGTTGGATTCTTCGCAGAAATTTTCCATAATCGAATCTTCCTGTCTTGATGGCCCGTGAAAATGATTTCATTTGTAATTACAATGGCTTTAACTAACCCACTATTCGATTTGAACCCAGAAAACTCCTTTTGATTCTTTCATACCCGAATGTTCAATGTATAACAAGTCGCTAGAGCTGGCAAGCGAGTATATATGGCCTTCTTCGCGAACAAGAGAACCCATTAGGCCTGTGTATGAATAGCAATCGTCGATTTGAGCGGCGTAAGAGGACCATGGAGATTTCGATAATGGCAAGGATTCGTCCCAGGAAGTCGCATTTGGTGGAGAAGTGTTAGGAGGGCTGGTGTCGACATTACTGAATCGAAACGATTCGTTTGCAGGTTGGAAAAGTGTTAGGAAGGTTGGTTTGCATATTTATTTTAAAATTTGAGATCAAAATGTAATTTTTTTTAACGTTTTTCGTTTCAAATGTGACGACAGAGGCAAAATTGATGATAATTTAAATAGTATGAGGATATACATGAAAATAAGAATAATTTGGAGGGTCATTAAAAATCGTGTAAAAGTATAGGGATAAAAATGAAATAATACTTTATAATATGCAAACTGCAAAATTTTAATTTATGGGACAGTATAAATTTCATAAAATTATAGGCCAAAGTGCCATTTACCCATTATATAAAGGAGAATTGCTTCCATTCTTGTACAAAACTATAGAGCAGAGAGAGAAGGCTGATCTAATCTGTGTTTCTGTACATATTTTCCCACTATATTTTCCCGTGATCCAATCAGCCTTTGCTCGCAAGAAAATCCACAATGTCTTCGACATTCAGCGGAGATGAAACCGCTCCTTTCTTCGGCTTCCTCGGCGCTGCTGCTGCCCTTGTTTTCTCCTGTAATCAACCCCTAGATCTCATTATCTCTTATATATATATATATATATATATTTACATTATTATGTTGCAAACCCTAGATCGTGAATATTTGATTCTGAATCTTCAGGTATGGGAGCTGCATATGGAACAGCGAAGAGTGGTGTTGGTGTTGCATCGATGGGTGTGATGAGGCCAGAGCTGGTGATGAAGTCGATCGTTCCTGTTGTTATGGCTGGTGTGTTGGGTATTTATGGCTTGATCATTGCTGTTATCATCAGTACTGGTATTAACCCTAAGGCCAAGTCGTATTACCTCTTTGATGGTTATGCTCATCTTTCCTCTGGTCTCGCTTGTGGTCTCGCTGGCCTCTCTGCTGGAATGGCAATTGGGATCGTCGGTGATGCTGGTGTTAGGTATTGATTTCTTGTTGGATTGTTCGTTTATTTCATCGTTTCATGTTGTTAATTTCCAGTGATAGTTGCAATTTCTATTTTAATTGTGAAAAAGCATATTCAGATTGGTTATCAACTTATGATTTAGGGGTTTCTAGTTTGTATTTATGTTGATATTGGTCTCGAGTTAGGACGGTTAAATGTGAGTTATTTGAACAAAACCCAGGAATAGATTTGTGAGCAATAGGAGTAGTGTTTTCTATGGATGGAGATCACGTTCTAGAATTATTGAAAATTTAGTTGCATGAAGCCGGAGTGGGGGTAGGGAAACGAGGACATAGAGAAAACTCTAAGGTTGAAGGGCCTAGTGGAGAGGTTATGCATTGTATATCTATTGCTCTAAACTCTAAGGTTTAGAGCAATGAATTTGTACTTGTTTAGAGAATGGTATGGAAGAAATGACCAATCACACTGCACATGTTAGTGTATAAAAGACAATTGTGACCAAATAAGTGATTGTACATAGAGTAGATCATATTGTGCCAAGGCTATCTTGAGTGATAGTTCCCAAAGTTTGTAAATGCAAATGTGTAACTCTAGGTCTTTATCCTTCGTGGGGTGAGGCGTCTTAAAGTGTTGAGGCAAAAGCATTTCGAATTTTGATTTTTTATATTTATTTAGTAAATAAATTAAATATTTTAAAATAGTAAAAAGAATTAAAATTTATATATGAAGGCTCCGAACATGTCATTACAGAGAAGGAAGCTTGTTCTCATCAAAAGTGAAATCAATGTTTTGAGCTTCAATTATTGAGCTTCTCAATTACGCACTTTGTCTTTTTTCTTGATTGGTCATTTACTTTAATTTCCTTACGGAATATAGTTGCACAAGAGATTTTTCTTTATTTTTTATTTATGCTTAAATCATTTAATAGACTAAGTTTAACAAGAGTCTAAGTCAAGCTCTTCATATGCGTACTTTTCATTTGTTTATACGCAAAGGGCGTACAAGGCGTATGCCTCAGACTATGGTGTGCAAGCCTTTGGAGAATATCGCCAAAAATCGAAGCTTCATTGCATTTTGGCATTAGCCTCGCCTCAAGGCAAGCCTCAATAAAGTTTTTTAAAACTTATTATATATTCTTTTGACAGTGTATAGTGTTTTGGATGCCTTTGTTAACCAAATTTCTGGATGGTGTGTGATTGTGCATGCACTGCTATTGGCTTGTCTGTTGTAGGTAGAAGTTTTGCCTCATGTGTTTTAATAGATGTGTTTACCATGTTTGTATATGTTTATGGCATCATTAGCATGGTGTGTGGATGATATATATGCTATTATTGAAGGCAAAAGTTTTGCCTCACATATTACGTGCCATTTCTATGGATATTGAACAAATATTCTCTGTGTCTTTCACCCCTTTGCGTTAAAGAGGTAGGCTAAGAAGCAAACACTTCTAAAAGGGTATCATGACACGTGTTGGACACACATTCAAAATGTATTATATTATTATTTTTTTAATTTCTTTTAGAACCAACACACTTAGGGCCTAGGGAACGCGTATCTCCACTTAGACATATATGAGATGCATTGTAAGTTCAAAGAAAAAAAACTTAAGTTCTAATGATAAAATAAAAATAATATGGATTTAAATCTATTTATCCGTCCTTGAGACTTTAAAAAAATATGTAAACCAAACCAAACAAAGTCTTAAATCCCATCAAATGGGGTCGGCTATATGAATTCTTATTCTTCATGCGGTTCTATCAAAGGCCATTTCGTTAGTCAAATTAAATAGATTCATATCTCTATTTACAACACTAGCCAACGTTAATCTAACCCTACCCGGTCCCCTAACACTTCCATCTACCGTCACTACATCGCATCTCTTTACTACTGCCTCTGTTGGTTTCTGTTGAATATGACCAAACCATCTCAATCGATTCTTTCAACTTATCTTTTATCAGTGCTACTCCTACCTATCCATTCCCGAATACACTCATTCCTAATTCTGTCTAGTCTAGTCTTGCCACACATCCACCTTAGCATTCTCATTTTAGCAACACTCATCTTATCTATATGTTATTTCTTAGTTGCGCAACACTCTGTCCCATACAACATCGTTGGTCTAATAGGCGTTTTATAGAACTTACCTTTAGTCTAGTGGGTATTCGTTTATCGCACAATACTCTAAATGCACTTCTTCACTTAAGCCATCTCGCTTTAATCTTATGAGCCGCATCCACATCAATCTCCCCTGTTGTTGTGATAATCGACCATAAATAACGAAAATGTTTACTTTTAGGCAGTTCTTGGTTCTCAATCTTCACTTTTCCTCAGCTTTCATTGTTACTGTTACTAAATTTACACTCCATGTACTCTTATCTTAGTTCTGCTTATCCGGAATTCTTTAGATCAAGGGCTTTTCTCCAAATCTCCAACTTTGTATTAACTCCTTCTCTAGTCTTATCCACTAACATGATATCATCTGCAAAAAGTATACACCATGGCACGTCATCCTGAATATTTATCGTCAACTCATCCATAACTAACGCAAAAAGATAAGAACTTAAGGTAGATCCTTGGTGTAAAATGTGGAAAATAAATTCTTATTCTTTTAATATAATAAAATATATATGTAATTGTTGTGGAAAAAATAAATAAGTTATTGTTTTAATGTATGCATAATATATGTGTATATGTATTTTCTTCTTGTTTCCATGTCATGTTGTGTCCTATTTTTTGAAAACTATCTTGTTGGCTTGTTCATATTATGCTATGTATGTGTCCTAGGTTTGTATCAGTGCTTCTTAGGAGGTAGGCATGCTACATATCTATTAGAATTCTCTAATAGCTCATTTAGAGTATACTATATAGCAGGATTTTCATTTGCTCTGGTCTCTAGGAAGTCACAATTGGTTGCTGGATTCTTTAGCAATTTCTTCAATCCGTCTCCTATTTTGATGGTTGGTTGGTTGGGCTATGGTCTCTCTTAAGGCAATCTGTGGACACTATTTTGCTTATTGCTTGAAGAAAAAGCATCTTGCACTTCATTCCTCTGATTATAGACCTTTCAGATTTATTGCCCTTATAGAGGTGTAATGCATGTTCTTGCTTGGAATGGCTGATACTGTAAAGGATTGGAAGAGTTTGCCAATTTGCATATGTGATATGTTCAATTCAATAATTGGTTTTGGTTAGCATTCATGATCTTAATCCTTAAATTTCTTGTGTCAACTTCACCAGCCTGATTGCATGATATAAGTGGATAAAAAATAAGTTATTAGTAAGACTCCTGGTACATGTAATGGGTGCAAGTATGTGTCCAAAGCGTCAAAATCATCTAATTCTGAAATGTAGCGACACTGAGACAGTTAAATAATCATACTTTTAATATTATTCTTTTATTCCCCAAGTTAAACTGGTGTTTCCATTTGACGTTGTAAGAAATAATGTATAGAGAAAGAGAGAGAATAAATTGTATGTATTATTATTGATTGATATATTGATATCTATTACAATGATTCATGTCTAAGTCAAGCTCTTCATATGCGTACTTTTCATTTGTTTATACGCAAAGGGCGTACAAGGCGTATGCCTCAGACTATGGTGTGCAAGCCTTTGGAGAATATCGCCAAAAATCGAAGCTTCATTGCATTTTGGCATTAGCCTCGCCTCAAGGCAAGCCTCAATAAAGTTTTTTAAAACTTATTATATATTCTTTTGACAGTGTATAGTGTTTTGGATGCCTTTGTTAACCAAATTTCTGGATGGTGTGTGATTGTGCATGCACTGCTATTGGCTTGTCTGTTGTAGGTAGAAGTTTTGCCTCATGTGTTTTAATAGATGTGTTTACCATGTTTGTATATGTTTATGGCATCATTAGCATGGTGTGTGGATGATATATATGCTATTATTGAAGGCAAAAGTTTTGCCTCACATATTACGTGCCATTTCTATGGATATTGAACAAATATTCTCTGTGTCTTTCACCCCTTTGCGTTAAAGAGGTAGGCTAAGAAGCAAACACTTCTAAAAGGGTATCATGACACGTGTTGGACACACATTCAAAATGTATTATATTATTATTTTTTTAATTTCTTTTAGAACCAACACACTTAGGGCCTAGGGAACGCGTATCTCCACTTAGACATATATGAGATGCATTGTAAGTTCAAAGAAAAAAAACTTAAGTTCTAATGATAAAATAAAAATAATATGGATTTAAATCTATTTATCCGTCCTTGAGACTTTAAAAAAATATGTAAACCAAACCAAACAAAGTCTTAAATCCCATCAAATGGGGTCGGCTATATGAATTCTTATTCTTCATGCGGTTCTATCAAAGGCCATTTCGTTAGTCAAATTAAATAGATTCATATCTCTATTTACAACGCTAGCCAACGTTAATCTAACCCTACCCGGTCCCCTAACACTTCCATCTACCGTCACTACATCGCATCTCTTCACTACTGCCTCTGTTGGTTTCCGTTGAATATGACCAAACCATCTCAATCGATTCTCTCAACTTATCTTTTATCAGTGCTACTCCTACCTACCCATTCCCGAATACACTCATTCCTAATTCTGTCTAGTTTAGTCTAGTTTTGCCACACATCCACCTTAACATTCTCATTTTAGCAACACTCATCTTATCTATATGTTATTTCTTAGTTGCGCAACACTCTGTCCCATACAATATCGTTGGTCTAATAGGCGTTTTATAGAACTTACCTTTAGTCTAGTGGGTATTCGTTTATCGCACAATACTCTAAATGCACTTCTTCACTTAAGCCATCTCGCTTTAATCTTATGAGCCGCATCCACATCAATCTCCCCTGTTGTTGTGATAATCGACCATAAATAACGAAAATGTTTACTTTTAGGCAGTTCTTGGTTCTCAATCTTTACTTTTCCTCAGTTTTCATTGTTACTGTTACTAAATTTACACTCCATGTACTCTATCTTAGTTCTGCTTATCCGGAATTTTTTAGATCAAGGGCTTTTCTCCAAATCACCAACTTTGTATTAACTCCTTCTCTAATCTCATCCACTAACATGATATCATCTACAAAAAGTATACACCATGGCACGTCATCCTGAATATTTATCGTCAACTCATCCATAACTAACGCAAAAAGATAAGAACTTAAGGTAGATCTTTGGTGTAAAATGTGGAAAATAAATTCTTATTCTTTTAATATAATAAAATATATATGTAATTGTTGTGGAAAAAATGAATAAGTTATTGTTTTAATGTATGCATAATATATGTGTATATGTATTTTCTTCTTGTTTCCATGTCATGTTGTGTCCTATTTTTTGAAAACTATCTTGTTGGCTTGTTCATATTATGCTATGTATGTGTCCTAGGTTTGTATCAGTGCTTCTTAGGAGGTAGGCATGCTACATATCTATTAGAATTCTCTAATAGCTCATTTAGAGTATACTATATAGCAGGATTTTCATTTGCTCTGGTCTCTAGGAAGTCACAATTGGTTGCTGGATTCTTTAGCAATTTCTTCAATCCGTCTCCTATTTTGATGGTTGGTTGGTTGGGCTATGGTCTCTCTTAAGGCAATCTGTGGACACTATTTTGCTTATTGCTTGAAGAAAAAGCATCTTGCACTTCATTCCTCTGATTTTCAGATTTATTGCCCTTATAGAGGTGTAATGCATGTTCTTGCTTGGAATGGCTGATACTGTAAAGGATTGGAAGTGTTTGCCAATTTGCATATGTGATATGTTCAATTCAATAATTGGTTTTGGTTAGCATTCATGGTCTTAATCCTTAAATTTCTTGTGTCAACTTTACCAGCCTGATTGCATGATATAAGTGGATAAAAAATAAGTTATTAGTAAGACTCCTGGTACATGTAATGGGTGCAAGTACGTGTCCAAAGCGTCAAAATCATCTAATTCTGAAATGTAGCGACACTGAGACAGTTAAATAATCATACTTTTAATATTATTCTTTTATTCCCCAAGTTAAACTGGTGTTTCCATTTGACGTCATGCATTAAGCATGGGAATATTGTAACACGGAAACGGTGTGTAATGGATCATTATGGCCGTTATGGTATTGCTATAGCCGTTACATAATACCGAAACGGCTATTACACATGTGAATTTCCGTCACACTGCTATAGCGGCCGTAACGGGTGGTGGTGACCATCACAACCATTACGTAACTGTTGCGTTTGCTTTTTAAAACCTTAATGGCAATACATTTTAGTGTACAGAATGGAAATACAATTGACGAGTTGTCCTATGCGATTATGTGAGGGTAACCATAAGAAATGACTTTGCAGTGCCAAAAGGAAAGGAAAGCACACAAACATAGGCAGACCCACTTTCCCTCATTTTTTTTCCAACTTAGGCAATGCATGAGTTTGAGAATGGTTAATTGCATTCTGGTTACTTAAATGGACGAATTTGGCGAGATCTATGCGGCTCTTACTTTACCTTTAGTTTATATCAAAGCCTTTGCTGATTCAGTTATAACCGATGTGGAAGGTTGTTTGCCCTGTGATAGCAGTGGTTGAAATTTCTTGGTTGGGAGTTGGGCTTACAAAGATATTTAACTTGGCTTAGCAATTTAGGTGGGGGCAAGGTTTTAAAAAGTGGCTGTGGTGGTGGTTCTTGCCATCCGTTACGGTCGCGCTATAGCAGTGTGACGGAAATTTACATGTGTAACAGCTATTTCGGTGTTGCTTAACGGCCGTAGAAATATTGTAACGGTTGTAACGGTACACACTTTTACAATATTTTGAATAGATTCCTTTTTCCAAAAAAAAAAAAAACCTTAGAAAAAAATAACAAATAAAACCTTAGAAAAAAATAAGCACAGAGATCCAAATATATTTCTTATAAACCAGGGGGTTTACTAGAGAGCAAGGTTTCAAAAAGCGGTGTTACGTAACGGTTGCGGTGGTAGATGCTATCTGTTACACCCGCTTTTGCAGTGTGACAAAAATTCGCATGTGTAATTGCTGTTTCGGTGCTACGTAACAGCCGTAACAATCCGTTACACACTTTTACAACATTCTGAATAACTTCCTTTCTATTAAAAAAAATAAAAAAACTTCACAAAAAAAAAACCGAATACTCAAATGATCCAAGCCTAAAAAAAAACCTTGTATGAATTTTTTATTCTTTATAATTTTTTCAAAATTTTTATTTCATGACATTATTAGAATGTAAAATAAAAATAAATATAAATAGTGGTTGTATTTATTTTTCTAATCATTTTATTTAATATATAATTATAAATATTTTTTATTTTGTTACTGTAATATGTTGTTTAAAAAATATTTTTAAAAAAATAAATAAAATCAGTAGCTTAAAAATAATTTTTGTTTCTGACACAATTTTTATTTTTATAATCATTTCATTTAATACTTAACGGTAAATAATTTTATTTAGTAAATTGTAAAGTGTTGTCTAAAAAAATGCTTCAAAAATAATTTTTGTTTATGGCACAATTTTTATTTTTATAATCATTTAATTTAATAATTGTGAATATTTTTTATTCAGTTAGTTCATGTATTGGTTAAAAATAATTTGTTGGCATTTAAAATCAATTATTCTTAAAGTCATTAACTATTGAAATAAAATGTGAAAAACTCTTTTTGTAGTGATATAAAAATATGAAATATATGTATCATACTTAAAAACTAATAAAAATTGGTCAAAATCTATTTTAAATCCCAATAAATGTGATTCAGAAAAAAAAAAAATTTAATTATATGCTCATTGGTAAGTTTTTTTTTTAAATTGTGTGAAAAATAAAAAAAAATTATGGTTTCGGTTACTTCAGCCATTATGTTACGGCCTTCATACTCTGCAACCGCGCCACCGCAACTGTTATAGCGATCAAAACCACTTTTTGAAAACTTACCTGCAACCGCAACCACTTCTCGAAACTTTGGTTTGGAGTAAGAAATTTAGTTATGAAAGTTCTCCATATGTCCATCATGTACCAGTAGCGCAGAGATTCTTGGACATTCCCGTGTGCTTCCTATCATTCGGCTTCAGATTGAGATGGGAGGTGTCCACTAAAGGCCAAAAATAAAAAATGATCTTGGAACTTAAATTTCCCTTGCTTGAGAGTAGTGTTAGTTTCAGAATTTGGACGCTCTTTGGATTTGGGAATGATTTCTCTCCAAAACGCTTCACAGAGAAAAAACCCCATTTGGTGAATATTTTTTTGTAATTTTATTTTTTTTCTATCATCAAAATTTCCAGCACCTGAAAAATATGTTTTTGTTTTGCAGAGCAAATGCGCAGCAGCCAAAACTTTTTGTTGGGATGATCCTCATTCTTATCTTTGCTGAAGCACTGGCCCTCTATGGCCTCATTGTTGGTATCATATTGTCTTCTCGAGCTGGCCAATCCAGAGCAGACTGAGAAGGATTTGTGTTTTTTTACCTTGTGTCCTTTTGTATTGCTTTGTGGTAACCATATTCGGAAAGATGAAAAAAATTTATAAGTTTTAAATCTTCTTAGGTTAGAACAGCACTCGAGAGTTCTTCAAATTTCTCTTGAATTTGAAGATTGTTGCTCAAAATACACTCATTTTTTGGCTGCTCATTGCTGTTTATAGAGTAGTTAGACTGAGTATATCTCTGCAGAATAAAATCTCATGAAGGTGTCTCTGTTCGGTTTTTATCTATCGCGACTTCAGACCAGTGTGGAGTCTATTGTCTTGGAACTACTGTGTTGTATCAATTTTTTTTCTATGAAATCTTTGGTTCGACTAATATTTTTTGTTATGAAATTTTACCGGTATTCTTCTATGGTATTAGGATCTATTTCTGGTCTTGTATTTAGTGGTTATTTCTCTCTCCTGGGTTTAAATTTCGGGAATGGCTTTCCTTCTGTCCAATCATGGACTAGAGGGTACTATTGGACCCGTGGGGGCTCACCATGGGTCCTGTTTTGATAATTCAAACCGTTTAATGTATAGAAATCGTCGAATACTATATGCCTGTAAAAAATTACTTTGATTGGATATTGATATTTATGTGATTAATTCTATTTTGTATGAAAAAAAATAGACGGTAAAAAATAAACAGTTTACAAAAATCTGATTTGATTCCATCCCTTAAATTTCTGTTGTTTTCTTTTGATAAAGCCTTATACACAATTAATAATTTCATTTTCAAATACAAGCCTTTGTTTTAGCCCATACACTTATTTAAGGTTGATGATCATGGTTATCAAAATTCCCATCTGTATTAAGATCATACAATCTTAGTGTGACTAAATGATTCATATTGTACTAGGTTATTATGTGTCATTTGTAGGGGTGTACATGTATTGGATTGGTTTGGTTTTAGAGTAAATTAAGAACTGAATCGGCTTTTACAATCCTAGAAAAATTGAAATCAAAATCGGAATCAAACTGTTCAACTTGTGGAATCGAACCATTGTTGAATCAATAGAAACTGATTTAGTTCAGCTCGGTTTTACGGTTTTAGAAATTTTATATAATAATAAATATATATATTTATGTTAGTAAATAAATTGATAATAGTAGCTTGGTTAAGTCGGTTAGTGTTTATCAATTTTATAAAGAAGACTAATGTTTAAATCTTATAAGAAACTTCTTAGATTTTTGCATATAAAAATATTAAAAAAATAATAAATAAATGGCCTGGTCCGGTTCATAACAAAAGTTTTGGAATTGAGCATCAGATTGATTTGAACAGTTTCACTATTCTAAAACTAAAATCAGAATCGAAATTAATAAAAATCAAATTAATTCGACAGTATGAATCATAGACTGACTGAAGTGGTTTACTAGTTATATCGTTTTTTTGGAACACCCCTAATCATTTGTATTTATGCTTCTTTCTGCCGAATAAATTCTTATGACATTGAAGTTGGGTACATCAACAAGGCTAGGGTTAGATTTTATTGGAGATATATGGGTAGGGTTTGGTTTGGATTAGTTTAGCTCATGTTTCTCTTAAAATATGAAAGTAGACGAAAATTATAATCTTCCAATTTTCATAAATCTCATAACTAGAAATTGTATCTCATTTGGTCCTTGTTCATAATTTATAATTTCATTTAGTCTCAAAGCTTTCAAAAGACCGAAAAATCCTCTTTTAATGTATCTCCAAATTTAACAAATGGAATCTCAATTTAATTTGTAGTTTGATTATAGAAGAAGATTTTATTAGCGTATCTAGTTTAATTTATCTTCTAGAATATTATAAATATAATCAAAATCTATATTTTTTGGGGAAAAAAATCATCATAATTAGATAATAATGTGAATTTCTTTGGTGTGAATTTTTTAAGAAATGTGATAATTACAAATGTGAATATTCATACTTTTAATATGAAATATTGTTATTTTTTAAAAAGTGTAAAAACTAGAGTGAATATTCACACTTTTAAATACAAATATTCAGATTATTCTTATATTCATAACTAGTGTGAATATTCACATATTTTATTCTATAAAATTACAAAAATTATTCGACGAAAAGTTATGAACTTTATAAAATATCTTTTGAACTTAATATGATACCAAAAATTTTATTAACTTTATTTTATTTTGCATTTAAAAAATTGAAATAATAATAAAAAAAAAACTATGTGAAATTTCAAAAGTGAAAATATCTGTACTTCAAATTTGAAAAAAAAAAAAAGTGTTAAGTATTTATATTTTTTTCATTTTACAAATTTTATATTTAATTAAGATCTTAGTTGATAGATCACATTGAGTATTTTTTTAAAATATAAATTTTATCAAAAAGAGATGTGTTCATCCAAAGTTATGTAATTTTAAAGTTTGAAACATAAAAGAAAATAATAATTGCTATATAAGTATGTTTACCAGTTTTCTAGATTTGTGCTTATACAAATAAGGATTTAGTTTTCTTATATAATGGGACTTTATTGATTAAGAAAAATGTCACAGGACAACCCCCCCCCGATCAAAAATTATGTATAATTTTTTAGTTGTATAGTTTTATTCAATCAATTAATTCAGTTGTTCATTCTTGTACACTATCGACTGAAAGGTCATGAAAAATGATTGATTAATTACTCCCTATTGACACTTCTATAAAAACTTATAAATGTAATATTTATTTTAAGGTCCACACCAAAAAGTGGTTGTATATGTATATTTCCTTTCTCTCTCTCTCAATTTTTTTTTGGAGAATATCAAAAAATTAGAAAGTAGACTAATAATTACCAAAGAGATAGAAGTATAAGTGATTTATATATTAGATCGGGCAAGTATATCTTGCATTTTCATCATTTTGTAATTATTTTGTGCTGATACTATTTTTGTTTACGATTATACCATTTTTATTTTTATTTTTATTTTTAAATTGAGAAATTTTGAGGTGAAGTAAAGGAAAGTTAATGATTTTTTATTTTACCCGAGACTCTTTAAACTAAAAGAAACTCAACTCTGTTAAAAAAAACAATGAACCCAACGTGAGTGGGATTCCAATGGCTCATGGAGTTGCGAAGTGGAGACCGCCGATTGGGGAGATTCTTAAAGTGAACTTCGATGGGGCCATGTTCATGCGGCAGAAGGTCTGTGGGGTAGGGGTGGTGATTCGGGATCTCAATGGCGTTCCTGTTGCAGCTTTATCGAAGCAAATTCCACAATGGATGGAGAGTGATTGTATTGAAGCTATTGCTGCTGTCAAGGCTTTGGATTTTGCAACAGAATTGGGATTAACAAACATTCATTTGGAAGGTGATTCCCTTTGTGGTCAAGGCTATGCGAGAGGATGGTTATCTTAATGCTTCGTTTGGTCATTTTTTACAATATGCCATTGATCGTAGTAAGCAATTTGCGAGCTTCTGTGTTTCGCACATGCGTCGGAGTGACAATGTAATGGCTCACCATTTGGCTCAAATGGCTAAGGAGGATCCGGAGAAACGAGTTTGGATGGCTGGAGTTCTTGAGCATTTAGTGCAGGTTTTGTTGAGTGATGTTCCTATTTTGTAGGGGCTCATGACTTCCACTTTCTAAAAAAAAAAAAAAAAACTTATAGTCTCTTTTACACATAAGAACAAAAGGCCTTGTTTGGTTTGTGTTTCTCAAAAAATTTTAGGAAAAATTCTCTACAAATAAGTTTTCAAAAGTAATCAAACCAAATAAATTTTTTCAAATTTTTTTTTCAAAACTTGTTTGGTTTACAAATTTTCCAAACAAATCTCTCTCTCATACACATCAAATCAATCACTTTTTCCAAAACTCTCTCTCAAAATAATTTTTCAAAACATCTTTTGAAAAAAAATCAAACCAAACAAATTTTCGTACTTTTTATCTCAAAATATATTTCTCAAATACAAACTCGTTTCTTCTCTCCCAAACAATTTTACTTCCTCTCTCTTACTTTTTCCTCCATTTCTTTTCCTTCTATTTCTATTCTATCTACACTTCACTTTCATTCCCTCCAAACACAATATTAGGTAAGTCACATTTCATATGCAGTATGCTTGCTACTTTTTCCTTTTTCCCTGAAAAGAGCACATTACAAACAAAAGTGAACATCATCTATCTTCTTAGATTTGCTGCAAAATCAATAACTTTAGGTGCTTTAACAAACAATTTGATTGTCTCTTTGGAACTTTTTCCCTTTTTGCCTGAAAATCCTGCCAAAAAAAAAAAGCACAATTAAGTTTTTTTTACAATTTTCTTTTCCAACTACATCATATTGTCACTTACTTTTTAAAGATTGAAAATCACAACTTGCACTAGGAAGTACAAAATTGATCATATACTAAATTTTAGTGATTAAAAAAAGTCGTACTATAACATAGGATTGTGATTGTTAATTCATGAAATTCACATTTTATTATTTTATTGCAAGTTTTTTTATTCAGATTACAGTCCGATGGACATTTCTATTAAACAAAATTGGCAGACTTTTTTAATCCTACAACTAATAATGCAAAATAAACATATAATTGGGATAATATTTTTATATCCATTGCAAAATAAACATGAACGAGAGGAATTATTTATATCATTAATCTAACTGGATAACCAATCCTACATTAATCCCATGGATAGCTAATCCTCTCATCATTGATCCTATTAATCAAATAGGGTCTCAGTGAACATGATTATGCTTGGAGTTTAAAACTTAATTAACCTATTTGTATTTGGCTTTAAGCTCAAGCTTGATAAATTTATATGCACTATTAAAAAATTAAACTACCCCAACTTGACTAGATTGAATTTTGAGATCCATAAAAAAAAAAAAAAACCTAAATAAGTCAAATTTAAATACATTTTGAAATTTGTTAAGTTTTCAAAACAAATTTAAATAACCATTCAGTTGGCTTAAAACGTTTAAAACCCTAACTCCACTTTACAAAATAGACTAAAAACAAAAAAAACTTCAGTTATTTTGGGTAAAGTACACTGACCTAAAGTTGGAACAAAATATAGCAAGTCCTACAGTTTAGGTATAATTACAACAATTTCCTTTTAGTAAAGCTAAAGGGACCAGAATCAATATAAATGATGTGAAAGCACAAAAATAAACAAAAATAAATATAGATTTTAGTATAAAAAGAATTACATTATATATATATATATATTTTATCAATAAGACTAACGAATTATTAATAAAAAGATAGATAATTAAGTGTTATATAAAATAAAACCTTAAAGAACCCAATATAATTTTGTTAAATTTGTAAAATTTATTATATTTTTTTAAAATCTCAAAAAAGTCAGTATAATTACCTTTTTCTTTTTCTTTCTTAGGCCTCGTTTGGGAACGCTCTATTTTAGTCAAAAAGTCAA